AATACATACATATATATATATATATATATATATATATATATATATATAAAGAAGAACAGAAAATGATTATAATAAAATTGTAAAATAATAATGAACTTTATCAATGTTAGTAAAGAAGAAGGGACATATTTTGAAAATGAAACATAAAAACTAATTTCGAAAAACATGTGCTTTCTTCTTATAAACAAAATTTACGAGAAGAGTTATTCTTTTTATTATTAAGTAGGATAATCCTTCAAGCTGCCACCGTGCACGATAGCCAGTCGGAGTACTTATTATGAATTACGGATTATCAATAACGAAGAGGAACCGATCGATATCCATCCACCGTTACCACGGTTCGAGCAAAACGCCTTGGGAATAAATCGAATCTAATTACGTTGATTAATGAGCGACACGATGAGTTTTTTTCTATTTTTTTCTTTCCTTCCATCCTTTCGGCGATGTTTATGGTCATATATATATACGTGCTTACTTTACCTATATGATTTTACGTAGACGTTAGATCTTAATTGGCCGATGTATGTATAAGTCCGTGTTTCCAAAGCTATTCATTAAATTCGAATATTATATACACACACAAATATGAAAAATTTTTTTTTTTTTTTATTTTATTTTATTTTCTTCAAACTTAAACATTGACGTCTCTCTTCTTTGAAACATATTAAATCATTGGAATATATGTATATATGTATGTTCGATAAATAAATTTAATAAAGTTCACAAACAGAGATATTATCTCACGAAAGGAAAAATTTGGATTATTAAATCTTAAATAATTTGTGTGTCATATCTTTTTTTTTTAGATTTTTATTTTCATGTATTAATAAATCATAGTTTAAATATTACTCAATGTTATGACATAGTAGGGAATGAAATTTGCATTGATCGTTCTTGAAACAAACGAGGAATAATGTTAAAGGTCAACAAACATTGGCTTTTAAATTGAGAGATTCCAAAGATGATTATATTAGATCTCGTTAGATTAATTCTAACGGTGTCTAATGTCAAGGAGAAAAAGAAGATTTTACTTGAAAGAGATAAGTTGATTCTAGCAATAATTAAACTATCTTTTGAAAGTAACGGATTAGAACGGGAGAATAGGGGGAGGGAAGAGGAAGAGATCAGTCGAAGAGTCGATAAATCATGGTTGGCTCGTAGTCACGAAATGCGAAACTTGGGGCCGAAATGTTAGAAAAACTTTGGCAATTTCTTCAAAGAACTTGCTCGTTCGTTGGTTTTAACGAGCGAGAATTTATTCTCTTTCTTCTTTATCCCAACACCCGTTGGAGATACTCGACGTATTTCCAGCGTGTTCGCGGAAATGACGGTCAGCTATGAAAAAGGAGTTGAAGAATTTCATGAGAGTAAAAGCGCAGATACTAGGAAAACGAATGACATCGTAAAACTGCGAATTGCAACGGGGTTATGGAAAAGTGAAGTGGAACTGGTATTTGTGGATTTCTTTTTTGCAAAAAGATTTTGAATCGTTTCTTTTTAATTCGACCGGCAACGAAATTCAATTCACTTTTGGTATCGTAGAAAATGTTTTTTGAATTTTTGTATCAAATCATAAATGCCTAATATTTTTCTTATCATCTTTCACAATCAACATTTTACCGTTTTAACTGCTATGTTTCGTAATATATTATGAATTTCGTTCGTGACTATTCGTATGAGTTATATCTCGTATAAATACACCTAATTGGATTATTATTTCTTTCGCTTCTTTTTTAAATAATTACAATAATTAGATAATCATACTCCGATAATTTAGTCGGCTAATTTTATAAAACGTATGTATTTATATATATTAAATATTTTATCTATATTTCTAATTTGTCACAAATTTTTCTATGCAACGCAACACATTTTATTTTATGAGAAAAAGGAAGGGATACTTTATAGAATAAATTAATTAATATTTATTAATGTTTTTCTTAGGATAAATTAATTAAACATTGAAAAGGATGATGTAAATTGTACGCTTAAACCCGATTCAATTATTAATCTCATAACTATTACTGATATATGGGTAAAGTAAAAGGCTATTTAGAAAAGATGAATATAAGAAAATGTAAATGTAAGTTGTTCATGAAAATTCGATAGAATTGCAGGTTGTACTCGAAAATGACTATGAAATTATTCGATTCATTATACACCATGTTCGATTCATCATTCAGTTGGGTGTATTACTTACTCATCGTTCTCTTCTGTTTTCTCGAATAAAAAAAAGGGGGAAAAGAAAAGAAAAAAAAAAAAGAAAAAAGAAGAAGAAATAATTTGCCATGAGTTGAGAACGTTCGGTTAGTAACTTTCACGGAAAATGGCCGAACGGGAAGACGACCATTACAAGAGAAGAAGATTGTTTAACTCGTTATCTCATAAATTATTTAACGCCGGTCTATGCCAATGTTTATCGGTATTCTTGGTAATTACCCGGTTCATGATAATAATAGTGGGTGACGTGGAATGCTAGTAATAAAGAATAGATAAACGAGTGTCGCGCTTTTATTAAACTTTTAAATATCCATGAATTTATTCTGACTATCTTGTGTTATATATTACTTGTTTCAAGATTTTCTTGATCACATCGTGTTCTTCTTTCTCTTCTATTTCGATTAACATAATTACCGAGCGGTCATAAACTTTCGTAAATCATTGTCGCAATATTGAAACGAAAAAAAAATATCAAAAGAATTAACTTCGATGAACATCTATGGAATATTTAATGAAGAAGATTTTCCATATACGAGTTGAACCTGAGGGTAATTTGAAAACAGTGCATCAAGATATACTTGCATTAATTTTGCATTGTATTTATGTAAATTATTTGCCAATTTTAGAAATTATTTTAATATTATCGAAGTTATTAAATAGGTACATTTAATAATTATGGTGTTTGTGAATTTTTCAGTAGATTTTTTTTTTTTTTTAAATCAACGTGTTTATTTTTTTAAATGCATTTTTATTATATATTCATATCTTCGAGTTCAAAATAATTAAAAATAATTTAATTTAACCTAAATTGGATCTCTATATTTCGTAAAAGAATTCATTTCGTAAGAAAATAAAGTAACAACAACTAACAATAAGTTCGCATTAACCAAAGGATGTGAAAATTTTATTATTCTGATGGCATATTCGCGAACACGCAATAAAGTCGAACGATAATACTACGAGTTTTGTTTCATAACGGTCTATTTTCGTGATCGAGCATGGAATTTCGAGAAAGAGAATGGGGATCCTCCTTTCGTCGTCTTTTTCCTTTCCCGTTTCACAAAAGCACATATTACACGTATACGATATAATATACGTATGCATAAATATATATATACATATACATTTATACATATATCGATTAAGATAAGAATCCTCTCCCGGTCAAGTATCGCCAAGTCAATCATAATTCCCGATCTTTTATTCAATTCCGTGTGTTCCCTGGTATATTAGCATACATATGTAGATATTGTATATATATATGTATATATGAGTACGGGTAAAAGAGATTCGCCGTAGTAGAAAGAAGAGAAAAGGATAGACGAAACGAAACGATCACCGGGACTAGCAGATCCCAGAGGAAGATACCGGACCTACCGGATGCTGGAACATTCTCGTAAAATCACTGAAATTCCATGTTTATTCAATATGTCGAGATTTCAGATTCGTATTTCGCTTTATCTGCACAAATAGAGGAAAAAGAAAGAAGAAGAAGAAGATTTGAAGTGGTAGTGGTGGTGATGGTGGTGGTGGTGGTGGTTGGCTGTGGGGTGGTTAAAAGAAGAGGGTAGATCGGTGTATGATGGTTTTGCTCCATGTTTGTTCGTCGACTATTTTACTTCAGATAAGGCCTCGGATTCTCGATTCAAACGTCTTCGTTCGTTTATGGAAGTCAGACATAGCGCACGAAATTGTTCTGAGTCGGACATGCGACTCACGAAACGTCTTTCTTCGTTTGTTAGAGAACCTTTTTCAAAGCACCGTAAGCATTTACGAGAAAGTGGCCTCTGCCTTTTCGTCAGTGGGGTCAGCGTTCTCATAAATTTCATTCGGATAAAAATTGATTCGATTACTTATTCCTATTAGGTATATCTATTACAGTTAAAATGTATTCAATATACCGAATATTATGTATTTATATGTATTCTACACACAAACACATGAAGGAATTTTTTATTATTCATCGATCTTATAAAACACAGTTATTTCCAAAAATGATATTACTATCTATTCGATATTAATTTAATCTTTTTATAAATTCTAAGAATTTATATCTTATATATTCATATATATGTATATTGTATACACGAATTTTTCTATCTAATCAGTGTATTATATTAACATATTTAATAATATAACTTTAATACAAAAATATATTTAATATATAAATTATATTTTATATAATAATAATATAATATAATATTAATTTATATAATATATTAAAATATATTAAATAATAAATAAAATTATATTATAATATTATATTATATTATTATATATATATTATATATTATTAAATATNTAAAGTTATTGTTAACAAAAATAACACATTAAATAATAAATAAAATTATATTATAATATTATATTATATTATTATATATATATTATATATTATATTATAATAATATAATATAATTAATATATAATAATGCTATTTTTCCAAAAATAATATTATTATCTATCCGATGTTAAATTAATGTCTGAATAAATTCTAACAACTGACGATATTTAAATCAAATAATAATTTATTCGTATGTTTTTCTGTTCTAATAAAATAAACTATTAGATAAATTGCTCATGTTTTAGTATTCTTTTTCTACTTGATAGCAATAATAATTATCCACTTAATAAACACACGAAATTTTGTTGTTGATAATTCTAATTGATGAACAAAAGGAAAACGTTGTTAAGTTTTACTTTAATTACTAAAACTATTTTTAACGACAATGGTGTTATATATTTTTTTTTTTGAAAGGAATTTTCTTATTTTCTCATTTCAGGATGCGACGCTGAATCGGACGAAGGTGGTAGCAAAAGACGAAGGAGCAGGACAAACTTTAGTAGCTGGCAACTGGAGGAATTAGAACGAGCGTTCCTGTCGAGTCATTATCCCGATGTATTTATGCGAGAAGCCCTTGCAGTCAGACTTGAACTTAAAGAAAGCCGCGTAGCTGTAAGTACCTTTATTATTCCTTCCTCTTCTTTCATATTTTTTTTTATTTCTTACATTTTTTTGCTCCCTTTTTATAAAGATTATTAGCTTGATCAGAATACCAAAAGACAACTTTTTTTTTTTTTTTCTTTACTGAAGAGATGATCCTCTTAACGCTTGGGTAGTTGTAACTGACGATAAAATATATTCTTGCGCAGGTGTCGCATCTTTTGAATACAAAGTCTTTAAGCTCGTATCAAACGTTTAAAGCTTGATATATAGTTTGTAAAGTAACCTCCTCTTACCCCACCTAGCACTAGCTGTGATACTTTGTAGACGGTATTTTCAAAATTATTAGATAAATAATAAAATGATCATATTTGGTGTGTGTGTGTGTATTCTAAAAAGTTCCAAATTTATTCGTGGTTAGATGGATACATTATTATTTTTTTTTTTTTATAACTTTCGTTGCACCAAGATGATTGGTTTAACAAAGATGAACACAATTTTTTTATTTCTTTTTTACAAATCACGAGTATACAAATATTTGAACGAACCTTAAAGAAAAAAAAAGAAAAAGGAAAGGGAAAGAGAAAGAGAAAGAAGACAAATGTATGTCATATAAAAAAATCGTTAACGTTTTAGATACGCATGTATGAGGGAAGTTATGACGTAAAGAAAACGTAACTTTATTCGACCATTTTCATAATGCGAAAGGGAGAGATAGAAAAAGAAAGAAAGAGAGAGAGAGAGAGAGAGAGAGAAATAGAAGAGCGTCGATTCGACGACGCACTTTACGTTCGGCGTATTTTTCGTTTATAGACACTACACTTCGAGATCGGTCTTAGTGATACGAACAAAATTTAAAGTCACTTCAGAATCGTGTTTCGAGGGGTTGATGTTCGACAGACGTCGGGGGTGGGCTCCGCGTAAGCAACCTTTGCCCCTTGGCCCCGACTATCTTTCCCTTTTTCTCTCCTACCTTTTTCTTCTTCTTTTTCTCTCATGGGGGTAGTTAGTCCATCTGCTACATTCTGAATGCGGTTAACTCTCGAAGAAAGAAAAGCTAACGCACACACGAGCCGAATCCCGGTCAAATATGTTTCGAGGGTGCTAAACCGAAAGAGATCTATCTCGTATAAAGCAACCCTCGTTCCTTCTTCAAATCGATCGTCTCTATTTAAATAATGACCGGTGCCCTATGGATGTTTAAGGTAGCCTATCGACGAAAAGTGAACTACTAACTTTCCATTATTCAACGTCAATTTTTATCTTACTATTATTACACCTACTATTTCTTGTATATACATCTATGACTAATATTTTTATTATTAACCAATTAATTTCTTTTTGTTTGTTTGTTACAAAAGATAGAAAAAAAAATTACGAGTGAATAAAATAATGTCAATTATTAATATAGGTAAATATATATTTGTTTGTTAATTAAAATAATTAATTAAAATAAGTTTCTTATATAAAAATATTTTCTTATCAAGTAATTAATTAAAATACTTTTCTAATAAAAATAATTTCTTATAAAAATATTTTTTTATGAAGTAATTAATTAACATATTTTTCTTACAAAAATATTTTCTTATCAAGTAATTAATTAAGATACTTTTCTAATAAAAATAATTTCTTATAAAAATATTTATAATTTCAAATAAAATACGTACGTGCATACGATAATATAATAAATAATATAAATTGTGAGATATGTTAATTTATATTCATTATAAAGTCATCATATAATTTATAAAAGAATTATTTTCCTAAATTAGATATCATTAATAAAAAAAAATCATATATAAAAAGTTATTAAATATCAAACGTGTTCCGTTCTCTTTATCAAAGAAGTACTCCAATCGATCCTCTCCATCAGAGAAGAGAACCAACCTTAGGGTGGACCCTTAATTTCACGGCTGATCTGCGAAAGGACGCTACCCCTCCCTTTTACTACCAGGCCCTTCTTAACCAAGGATATTTAAATTTACGCGCTTAGACACGCTTCGGGCGGCAGCTTTCGTTCAACTTCTGTTAGAAAATATCTACGAGAAATATATATATATATATATATATATTTAAAATAATTATATTTGTTAATTAAATTTAATACAAAAATACAATATCTAAGATTATATATTTATTTAATGCATAATAAAATTAAATTTAATACGATAATTTAAAGATGATTACCAAAAACAAAAAATAGGAAAGTGAAAATATTGTTTAACAATTTGTTAATAATATAATATCAGATAAATTTAAATTATATTCGAATATAATATCAAATATAAATCTGTGAGAGAGAGTAATAATCAGTGAGAGAAATAGAACGAATGAGATCGTGGATGATAACCTAAACTGGTGACATGGTGTCACACAGCCGGTGTTTCTCTCTTTCTTTCTCTCTTTCTTTTCTAGAAAGGGACACATCACCGCGATGGGAAACGGTTCTTTTAGATTAGATAGACACGATCCCCGCGATAGATAACCTCACGAAATACGGGTGCTTTTAGACGAGCGTTTAAAAAATATTGTCACGTATAGAAAGAGAGAAAGAGAGAGAGAGAGAGAGAGAGATAAGCGGATGACATCGTAAAATCGACTAAAACCCGGGAGCACTTCGAAGGATTCGTGAAGAAAAGCATACAACAAATTTCAAACCATTCATTATCATTTCTTTCCATTTTTTTTTTTTTTTGAGAACATTTCTCATGTAACATTTGTATTAATGGTCATTTATTTTTATATTATTTATTTATATGTATATATGTGTACTCTCTTTTTTTTTGTGATTTATCTTACAACGAAGACCTTTGTTTTCTTTCGGGTGTTTTCTTTTTTCTTTTCTTTTCTTTTCTTTTTTTTTCAATAATTTCACGATTAGAAGTAAAGACACGAAGTTATCGTTTAAAGATAGCTATAAAAGCGCCGTGTATTAGGGGGAAACACGAAAGAGGATGCCACTGGTATTTTCCTGACGTGTGATTGGTCATAGAACAGTTTGTTAGACGTTATCGTTAAGCGATAGTTTCTGACATGTAACGGTAATAACCTTAACTCTAACGCTTTCCCACGTATCACTCTTAACAAGCCACAGCTGCACCCATACCGATTTCTCTTAATGCTCTTCTTCGTTCATTCCATCGTTTCTTCGTTCCTTCGTTCGTTCATTCGTGTGCACGGAAGTGCCGATAATTATCGGTCGTCTGTATTCGCATACCCACGCGAAAATATTAAATGAATTTGCATAATCTGTACTCTCGCTTGACAGATCGATCGATAGAAAGCACTAGTCCCTCCTCCCCCCACCTCCCAACGTATTGATTAATTGTTTTAATTACAAATCGATTTTAAAACTGATCTTCTTGATCCAATCAATTAATCTCACTTACTATATTTATTTAGTTTTCATTTTTGTAAATATTAATATACATGCATAGGAAAGATAGAAAATATTAATTATATTCAAGATGAAGATTGAGTTCGATCGTTAAACAAATATTGGGTTATTTGTATTATATTATCTGCTTCAAAGTGTCGTGCGTTTTTTAAATTAATATTTCTAATGTAAATTTTGCTAAAGAAATAATATTTTAATACAATAAATATAATTTAAATGGTTATACATAATTATATTATTATTATTATTATTATTATTAATTGGCATTAGGAATTCGAAAGTTCATTTCCGCAAATACCAAATTCCGCCAGTGTTCCCGTCCCTGAATACATAATTATATACATATATATATAATAATAATAAATATATATTTAAATATAAATATAATATAAAATATATAATATAAAATAATACTATATAAAATAATAATATAATTTATATAACACAATAAACTCAAAAACTTTTTTTAGGGTTTACTCCTATGTAATATATTTTTTTATTTATTTAAATAATACCTAAGTCTTTTATATTTCCTATTATTATATATGTTATATCAAGTTTGACTCGAATTAATTACGTTGATTAATAATTACTTATTGTAATATGAAAAAAAAAATAGAAAAACAAATATTTTCATTTGATGATCAATTTTTGGAGGAAATAGAAAGAAAGTGAAATAGGAAAAAGGGGGTTGAGAAAGACAAGAGAGAGAATAAGAGAGATAGAGAGAGAGAGGAAAATTTATGAGGACATTTTAACCGGTGTTCCTGAAATTCCAACGTTGTCGAGCAAATTGTAGTAGAGAGAACGCACGATTAGAGATGATGGTCGGGAGAAGTCATAAAGGCGTACGACGTGATGAAGGTGTTTCAGCGGTCGAAGGGGGCTATTGATCTTTGGTTGCGTGTGAGAGCAGCGCCACGTATTGGCCAACCCTCTGAACTAATGTCTTCATCCCTCTCTTTCACTCTCCTCCTGCCACCTCCTCCTACGCGCGAGCCTTGTGTTCGTTTTCTCTTTCTCTCTTATTCCCATTATTCTCTTCTCTCTCTCTCTCTCTCTATTTTCTTCTCATTCCCCTGTCCTTCCCTTTCTCTTCCCTTTCTTGCACACGTTGACTCCGCACGCCATCCCTAAATCGTGCTTCACGCTACGCGAATATTCACGCGAACACGAGCAAAGGGTTAGCGTTCTTGATGTATCAGAACACCCTCGGGGGTCGTTGGTCCTTCGTTGGTTCAACAAGAAGTAAGAGAGACAAGCACACACCATTGTACCTCCTTTCTTCTCTCGTAATTTTCTAAATCTTTTGCCGAAACTAAAGAAAATAAAGAGATTTAAATGATTTGGGGGGATGGGGGTAGAATTTAGTGATTTACATTTTGAAATATATAACAAAATTTTTGAAAAGAAATTTAAAGAACATTTTTCTTCGAAGGGATGTTTAATTGTATATAAAAAAAAAGGAATCGTTTTTTTTTGTTTGGGTTGATTTCAGGTTTGGTTTCAAAACCGTAGAGCTAAGTGGAGGAAAAAGGAACACACGAAGAAGGGACCAGGTAGGCCGGCACACAACGCTCATCCACAAAGTTGCAGCGGCGAACCAATACCACCGGAAGAATTGAGGAGAAAAGAACGTGAAAGGCGGCAAAAGAAATTGCTCAAAGCACTTGAACGTCAACAACGAAAACTCGCCGCCAAGGTAAACAAAGAAATTAATTAATTTTCCTATTGAAATGTATCAACCATTTTGATGGAATGAATTTGTTCAAAATGTTTGTTGTGGAAAATTATTTTGTTATTTGTTTGTTTTCTATTTAATTGTTACAGGGTATAACGGTGGATCTGTCGACACTGAGAGCCGAATGGGAATCCAGAACAGCCGCCGCGTCGGGTAGCAATTCTCTGAGCAGCCATCTTGGAAATTCCTTCGGTCATTCCTTAGGTAGCAACAATGAGAATAGCAGCGTCTCCGGTTCGGGTAACGATGCTAATGAAGAGATCGATGTTGTCGGGGGTTTGGATTCCTGTAGCGAAAGTGGAAGCGAAAGGGTTGATTCGGCAGCCGACGGTTCCATAGATGGCGAATCTTATCCAAGATTGATCAACGGTAATAGCGATCAAACGGATCAAAGACAAACTACGAATAACGCTAGTACCAATACGCAAAATCCTAATTCAACATTGAGTTTGGATCATTTGAATCATCAAGAAGGTATTCATCATTGGAGTTTGAGTCTTTTAGAAAGAAGACGCGAATTGGTTAATATATCAGCTGCTGCTGTTAGACTTGCCGCTAATAATAGTAGTAGTAACAACAACAATAACAACATTAACAACAACAATAACAACAACAACAACGTTACTCGACTGATTAGGCAACAAAGTAGCGAAGAGGATGTTCAAAGTAGCAGCATAGATTTGTCCGTTAAGGGTCGCGAGGAGAGAAAAAGGCTGAATCCATTTTCTATCGACAGTCTACTTGGTAATAACAAAAGATCATGTACACCTGGAATTAATCAGAACGAGCATCGAGCTTCCACACCAACATTGTCGAATGGAAGGGAGTCTAGTACTCCTACGTCACCTATTTCGGTACCAACTTCACCGTCCACGACGTAGTGACGATTATTCGATCATTTAGTCTGATTTTTTGTAAGTTCATTTTTTATCAAGTCAAAAACAAAATGAGAAAAGAAAAGAAGAAGAAGAAGACATTAAACGTTCGTTTTTATTTCGAACTTTCGATATTCTATTCACTCTGAAAGAATGAATATCTGAATCGTTCGAATAATAATAAACGCGTTGTCAAAAATTTATAAACGTTGACAAGAAGTCTTCTTAGATAACTTTGATAACTTCTTCGTGGACGAATTATATATATATCTATTTGAAAACTTCCAAAGACTGGGATATTGAGACAGAGAATATAATAAAAAAAAAAAGAAAAGAAAATGAAAAGAAAAAAAAAACTTTTTAAATAAGTTACGAATTAGTAACGTGTTTTCAAGATATCAACTAAAAAAATAAAAAAAGATAGAGAGATCGTCAACGATTTATTCTTTGACAAAATACCAAGAAAGTAAAAGAAATAAAACAACTTATATATATATATATATATATATATATATATATATATATNCAGTTCCAACATATCTGCAGAGCGAGTTAATGTGACACGGCGATTTGTAGAAAGAAAATTTATCTTTCGTTAGAGCGAACGCGAGCGAGGTCAAAGATAAACGAAGAGAGGAGAATGTGCAATAAAATATATTACGAATGAATATAGTTCGAAATGAACTACTACGGTCAATAATTAAAACGATATAAGTGATCGATAGTAAACGAAGGTAAAAAGTGCGAATTGTGTGTGCATGTGAGTGCGTGATTTTTTTCATTTTTTTTTCCATGTGTGATTAGTGCGAGAGAGAAAGAAATAAAAAGATAGTTTAGAATGGATGAAAAAGAAGAAAAATTTCGAATTATGTGTATGTGTGGATATATGTTCGTTTGGATACGTTTGTGTGGAGTGTCTGTGTGAGTGTATGTCAATACAAGAAAGAAAGAGAGAGACAAGCATGTGTATTTAATGTATATAATTAGATCCGAAATAATATGGAAGATTCTCGTTTTATTTAATTCACGTAGCCGGTAAAGAAAAAAAAAATAAGAAAAGAAAAGATTTAAAAAGAAAAAAACTAAGCAAGTGTTCGTCGAATCGCGGATATTATTTAAAATTTTAAAGCAATAGAAATTTCGCCTGGTATATGTATATAATAGAAGAACTTATAAAAAAGATCTAGGCAGGGGGGTGCGATAAGTCAAGATAATGACAAAGAGATACAGAAAGAAAGGAGGGAAAGAAAAAAAAAGGGATGCGTTTTCCTTTGACCCTCTCATTCACCTATTCACATCGAGCGTAAATGTTGGGCCGGTGGAAAGTAGTGGGAGAAATGAGGGGATGAGGAGAAAGAGAAAGAAAAGAAATGAGAAGAATAAAGCGATGCCATAAAATCCAGGATGCAAGATAGTACGTACCATATATCCATTAAAAATATATTAATTTATTCTCAAGACTATATTGCTCATGTTCTATCCTAACTACCTATCATCCACTTCTTTATTCATCCACTACAAACTTCCAATATTATATCTGGATGAAATTTTTGTTTTACTTCGTATTCCTTTTCTCGCTATTATCTTGATAAAGGAAAGAAGAAGAAGAAGAAGAAGAAGAAGAAGAAGAAGAAGAAGATGAAGACTTCAATCATTATTGTCCTTCCAATATAATTACGAGAAAATAACAAAATTTATTTACATAAATGAAAGGGGTAAATATATATTTTAAATATGATCATAATTGTCCTACACAAATTTCAGAAAATTTTTCTTTTTTTAGTATTTTACTTTTTACAGTAATAATGATAATAAATGATAATAATAATATTCATAATAATAATAATAATAATAATAATAATAATAATAATAATAATAATAATAATAATAATAATAATAATAATAATAATAATAATAATAATANATAATAATAATAATAATAATAATAATAATAATAATAATAATAATAATAATAATAATAATAATAATAATAATAATAATAATAATATTAGTAATAATAATATCAATAATGAATCACATTTTAATTTCTTTGAAAAAAGATAAAAGAATATCATACGACGTGATTTGTGCATTATTTTGTGTATGTATGTGTGTATGTATGTTTCCGTTTGTGGGTTTTTATTTGTCTCTTCTTTTTCATTTTAATCATCATTCGCCTCTTGTGCGTTATCATATCGAACCTAATTCGCGAGAATCGCAAATCCGGTGTGAGTTTGCGCGTAGTATATATATACACAGTACGCATGCATACAAACTTACACCTCCTTCCTCCTATCTACGTGGGTAAACCCTGTCCCATTCGTAATAATTTAAAGTGCGCGCGTGCGCACCTAGTTAATTACGCGTTTATCGCTGAGCTCATGCTAGTTCGTCGTAATTTACGACGAGGCGATTTTCACCCTCTCCCTCTCACCCTTTGCCAAATCGTGAACTTTAAAACCAGATCGAATATCATTTTTTTTTTATTGTTTCCACACACATTTCAAGACAATATTTAATTCTTAAATAAACCTTGAATAATATATTCAACAAAGTATTTTAGTTTCGACTATCAGTTTTTTTTATTCATCTATTGAATCGTGTTAGTATTATTATTATTATTATTATTATTATTATTATTATTATTATTATTATTATTATTATTATTATTATTATTATTTATTACCATCGATTAATCGTAAATAATATTATTGCAGATAAAAAAAAGTCAACAATTTTTTTGTTTTTTCATATTAATATGCGAATTAAGAATGATCGTTATTGAGATTTTGTTTTTTTTCTACGTTTTTATTATTACACACGCGAAACATCATGCGACTTCTGATTGAACGAACATACGTATATGTATTTATATATATAGTAGCCTCGGAACGTTTTGCATTGCGTTGGTAGTACGATAAAGCTTTGAATCGAAGAGTAATAATTAATAAATCACTGAAGTATTATTTTCATATTGAATACAAACCCAACAAAAAGTTGAGTTTATCGTTTGTATTGTAGGGATATTATTGACACGAAACGATCGGGATACGTTCTCGCAATAACATTTACAACTTTATTGAAGTCAGAGATCCCTCGCGAATTGATTCATTTCATTTTTCCTAGATGATAGAACGAACATGAAGAATATGATAAAAGATAAAACTTCAATGAGGATATTACATTATGCTAGTCGTATTTAATCGAACAACAAAGTATTACGTTTATTCGAGAAATTAAATTTATATTTCATTATATACATTAGTGACAATGACATATTGCAATCGGTAAATGATACATTTCATTTTGCAATGACATGGAAAAAAAGGAAAGAAAAAATAGAGACAATAAAAAAAGGCATAAATAAGAGAAATATCGTCGTCGATTCGATTCGCAATAAAATAATAATAATATATTGCAGAAACTGTCACGCTTGATTGTTTAATAAAATAATACTTTAGGAACATTGTGTGGAACAACTATCGAAATAAATCAGGGATACTTTCTAACCAATGATATTTGTTTGATATATATGATAAATAATTCATATTTAAAAAAATAGAAACAAACAAACAAAGATAGAGAAACGTAAATGAAACAATTTGTAAAAAAAAATAACTCATCTTATTTATATTATTATATAATATTATATATTATATATTATTATTATTATATTATTATATATAATATTATTTTATAATATATATTATATATAATATAATATATAATATATAATAATATTTTATTATTATATATTAGCATATAATATTTCATAAAATAATTATTTTCTATGTTATACAAAAATTAAAATAATTATTTAAAGAATAGATAAAAATTAGGGACGTAAAGAAAGAAATAAAAAAAAAAGAAAGGAAGGAAGAATCGAAGGAGTAGGAGTAAGAAAAAGATGGCGGAACACAAGGGGGTCGTCATAGTCGTAGTCGTCATGCGATTTATGGTGTTTCGCGAATGTATGTGTTTGTATTTATCTGTGTGTATTTGTACGTGCATGCGCAGCGTTTACGCGCGCGACTGGACGCCTATCCTCGACAAAAGCCCATTGTGCGCATCCGTCGAGCCCTTCTCGCGGTAATATTATTATTCACGTAGGAAGGGAAAGGTACGTGTTGTGTGTTCGATGGACCAAACTGATATACTTCCCTCTCGTCGTGTGAAGATAATCTTCAAGTATATATATGTATACTATCATCTAAAAGATTTTCTACCGATTATATTAATATTCTTATTATTAGATAATATCACTCAGGTAAGTTTTATTTTTATCTATCTTTTTTCTTCGCCTTCACCTTCACCACCTCCGCTTTCCTCTTTCATTTTGAAAATTTATATTGAAATAATTTATTAACATCTTAATAGCCGCTCGTGTAAAATATGTATGATACTATCAAATTATTATTATTATTATTATTATTATTATTATTATTATTATTATTATTAATATTATAAAAAAAATATTAAATTTGTAATGAAATTGTTAATGTTGTTCGTGAATTTTCGTACAGATTTTTTTTTAAATTAATTCTTCAATAATATTACAAGCCCTTGGCAATGTTTCATTACACAGACGTGTGACCATTAAAGTGGTAATACGTAATCATATTTGTAATAATTATTAGATTACAAAGATATAAATTATTTAAATAGAATTGATTTTTGTACTAACTATTATTGAACTATTTTCACGAATTTGATAAGATAAAAATCATAGGATAAATTATTATGTTCCCATAGACGTTATCTCATACAATCATTATAAATTAACAAGTTTTAATGAATAATCTATAATTTAAAATTAAAATACATAAATTACACAACAATTATAATTTTCATTTTAAATCATCGTATTACCTATCAAACGATCTTAATAAATAAAGAAGTTTTATAATGAACAATCTATATTTATAAAATTCAACTAAGAAATCAAAGTTAAAAAAAATCCATAAAAATAATATGACAATAATAATTTTCTTGAAATATCATCATATTATATGATCGATCCAACCATGAACGATAAAATCTTAAAGCATGTCAAATTAACCGAGTAATCCAGCCAACATTGCTGCTATTTACAAAC